CATTTTATGTGATGCATATTCCTTGAGTTCTTTATAGTTTTTACTGCTATTGTGAATTGGGTGATTTGTTTTTCAATTTTATTTTCTAATTTGCTGCTGACATGTAGGCAAATAAACATTGAATTTTATGTTGATCTTGTCATCAGCAACATTCCTGAATTCTTTTTATCAGTTCCAATAGATCATCTGTTTATCACTATGCATTTTCTATTTCTAAAAACGATTTTCTTTTCCCTTCCAAACCTCTGATATTTCCATTCCCTCCTCCCTTCCTTCCTGCTCCCTTTCAGTGCATGTACTAGTGTAGTTGACCCTTGCAGAATAGGCATTTGAACTCTGGATTTTCTTGTAAACAGAAGATGAAATGGCAAATGATAATACTCTAAATGGATGTGATGTAACTGCTACAGGGTTTTGGTCAAACAAACAAACAAACAACAACGAAAAAACCCTTACTCAGATTAAGGAAGTTTCCTTCTAATTCTAGTGTTTCCTAAGTTTATCTTCTAGAAAAGAGTGGGTACTGAATTTATAGAATAAGATAGGTTATTTTATTTTTTTTATAATCTATATGTAAGATAAACTTCCATGTATGGATTTTTCTGATGTTCTCACATGTCTGGGATAAATAAAAAGTAGTCATGATCATTTGAAAACTACACCGGTTGGATTTAATTTGCAAATATTTCTTCAGGACTTTTTATCTACATTTATAAGTGTGATTACGTTATCAGTGTTGTGGGGTGTTTTTTTTTTCCCACTCATACTGTCCTTGTTTCATTTGGCATCAAGCCTGGACCAACTTTATAAGTTAAAGAAGAGTTTATGTAAGAGAGATGATCCTTTCTTTGAAGGTTGGGTGAAATCGACTGTTAATATCATCTAAGACTAGTGTCTTTTGGGGAGGTGGTTGGGCAGTGAGGAGAACTGATTGTCAAATCAAGTTTTATAATGCTAAGATCAGTTTTTCTATTTCTTCTTAACTTTCAGCGTTCTAGTTTTATAAAAAATTAGCAATTTCATCTCTATTTCCAAATGTATTGACATAAAATTGTGTGGTGGAGTCCCTGATGATATTTTGATTTCTATTGCATTTGGATTACATTGCATTTTATTGTCCCTAACGTTTATTTGTTCCTTCTCTCGTATTTTCTTCACCTTGCCAGGGATTTATTTTATTAGGCTTGTATTGTTTTTCTTCTCCAACAATTAGAATTTTATTTTATTGATAATTTCTGTTTTGCTTTTGATTCCTCTCTTTCATTGTTTTCTTATTTCTTCCTATCACTTTTGGGGGCTTGACTTTGTTCTTTTTCTGCCTTCTTAATTGACATTGTTTCATTTATTTTAAGTCCTTCTTATATCTTAAAGATATTGTTTAGGACTCTACAATTTCATTTAACTGCTACCTTAGCTGTACCCCAAATCTTGGTATGTTTAGTGGTTTAATTACTACTCAGTTCAAAACATTTTGTTGTTTTTTAACAACTTCCTTTAGGTGTGTGTCACACATTTAAATGTATTACATTTAAATGTGAGAAGTCACACTTCTTAATGTATTCAGAGTCGTACAATCTTCACCATGGCCAACTTTAGAACTTTTCCATGCCTCTCAAAAGAAATCACATACCTCTTAGCTGTCACCCACAATCCATCCATCCCCTTGGGGACTGCTAGTCCAATTTCTTTTTTTTTAAAGATTTATTTATGCATCCAAGAACTGGGGTACAGGCCAGAGGTGCGGGGGGTGAGAGGATTCAGCAGAGACAGAGAAGGGAGCAGAACAGGCAGATGACTGAAATACACTGCTGAGGGGAGCAGCAGGTGAGACAGGAGAGGTCTGCTGCATCATGTGGGTAGTTCTCTGGCCAACTGGGGATTAAACTTGTGCTGCAGAGGCTGCGGATAGCTTCATAGTGCTGTGCTTAACCCCTTGTGCCACCAGGGAGGCCCCGCCAGTCCAATTTCTGTCCTAGACTTGTCTATCAAATGAACACTTCCTACAAATGGAATTATAAGGTATGTGGTCTTCTGTGACTGGCCTTACTCATTTAGCTTCGTGGTCTCAAGGTTCCTCTGTGAGTTGTGTGTACCAGTCCTTCTTTTGTTTTAATTGCTAGATAGTATTATATTGCATGAATAGCCACAATTTATTCAGCTGTCAGTTGATAGATACTGGGTTATTTCCATTTTCGACTCTTATGAATAATGCTGCTACAAACATTCCTATAGAGGCTTTTGTTGGCACATTTTAATCTTGAGGGGTGTATACTGAGGTCTAAAACTTCTTTTCAAACACAAAAAGGGAGGAAATTATTACAGACTAGCAACCTGGAGGGGGAACTGGTAAAGATGTCAGCCTGCTTTTCTGCAGCTGGTCATGAGGCTATGGTTGGCTGAATGGCTAGCGATTCCACTGCACCTGTCCCCTGCCTGCACCCCACCTCTGATGGTTGGGATTCTTTGCTTGATCAAATGCTCAAACTTTTAACCCAAGGAGGGTGAGTCCTTGATGATCCTGCCCCATAGATTGAGGTTGTGCTTCGTTATCTTTAAGCAGGGGCAGATAGTCCAAGTAGACACGCTAAGGGGTAAGCCCTGACTCCCATGAACCCCGTTCCTACTCTCTCTGAGGGGTAGTGCCCCTAAGTTCCCTTGCACGTCAGTGCCAACCCCTCCAGCAGCCACTGTGACCTCTTTTTCCTGCTCCCTCTGGTCTTGAAATGCCAGGTAGCCATTTTAGTTCCAATTTAGGGTAACTGGTAAAGGCTCCATTGGGGAAATCAGAAGAATCTATAGCTGTGGGGATTGTTACTTGTGTGTATGGTGTTGGGAAAAATTAAATGTGCAGAGTATAGCTACAGCTCTTTCCAGCTTCAAATGTTCTTCCAACAACTCCACTCCCTGGTATAGACCCCAAAGGATTGCGAATAATTGCCCACATCAACGCATGTACACACAGGTTCACAGCAGCGCGGCTCACACTGACCCAAGGGTGGCAACCACCCAAATGGCTAGCCCTGGGTGAATGGGCAAACAAAGGCTGCATGTGCATATACTGGGCTATTATTTATTATTATAAAAAGGAAGGAGATATAGATTAATAAATATAGATTAATATGTGGATGAGCCTCAAAAATAATGAAAGATGCCCAAAGGTCATTCATTGTATGATTCTGTTGATGTGACATAACAAGAATAGGTAAACCTACAGAAACAGAAAGCAGACCGATGGGCTGGGGGTGGATTGGGGAGCAGTGGCTTAGTGGGTACAGATGTTCCTTTGGGGGTAATATAAATGCTTTGCAAACGGACAGAGGTGGGGGTGAAGTGGCCTGACATTGAGAATATACTATATGCCACTGAATTGTCCACTTTAGTATGGCGAATTTTATGTTATGCGAACTTCACCTTAAGAAACACAAGCAAAGCCCTCAATGGCCTTACATTCATTTTACATTTAAGAGACAGACTGAATCATCATTCCTCTTTGATGTTACATGTGTTACAGATACCCCTTTGAGAGAGCTATGTTTTTAGAGAAAAATTAGCACATAAACAAAATCATATTTCCTGATAAGCTTGGAGCCCTAGGAGACATCTCTAGCTGTTCAGAAGCACTTCGGGAACTGAATGATTTAAAGCAAAAGGAACACCCGGAACGGTAGATGGTGATACTTGGTCCATTTGAAGAGCTTGGGATCTGTAGGTGGGAGCACCACCTTCCCCACCAGCGTACAGGTGACCTTTCCATTAGGAGACCCCATTAAGGACTGTAATGTAGACCAGTTAGGCAGACATGCCTCGACTTGTCAGAAACCTTCTGTTTTCCCCACGCGGTCAGGGTCTGATAAAAAGCCCATACATGGTTTGGCCCAACACATTCTTCTCCAAATTTACATCCCAAGGGGAGTCTTAAGGGACATTTAATCCTCGTGTTTCTGGTTCATTTTCCCTTAACTCATCAAAACGAGGTTATGAAAGATTGCTTTGATCTTTAACAGGGCTCGTTCACAAGAGACATGAGGCCATTACTTTCAAAACAGAAAGCTGTGCTCTGCCAGGAGTTCGGGGAGTTAACAGCGTGATGTTTGCACTTCCTTCGAAGCACCTGACCTTTGAGACACAACTGGGCCCTAAACTTGGCTCAGGGGGCCCCCTGCCCTCCAGTCTAATAAAGCCCATTAATTAACTGTCAGACCAGCTGTGTAACAAGTGAACTTTCCGTGACTGTGCCATTTTCTTGGTTGGCAGCCAGAAACGATAGGTTACAAACTCTCAGCCATCATGAGGCATTTCAGAAAGCAAGTGGTATTTGCGTAATGAAGGACAGCGTTCCAAATAACATTGCATTGTAGGACATGTATTTTCTGAAATTAAAGTGTAAATAAATCTCAGCTTCTTCTTTGGGTTCTTTCTTCCAGACACCTTATCTACTTGAAGGGAATTGCTACAAGGCTAATGCTGGGTTTGTCATCCTATTTCTCTGATGTCTGTGGAGTTCTATTTGGGTCTAATGCTAGGTTTTTCATCCTATTTCTCTGATGTCTGTGACCTAGGGAGAAGGATGAGAAATAATATATCGTCAAACTATGGCAAAAAGTCCACTTAAATAAATTTCAACGATCTCATGGTGAGATAATCCTGGAAAAGCCACTAGATTCAGGTAGTCACTGACATTCTCTGTCAGAAATAGAAACCAAGTCAGTTTGAACGAAAAGAGGAGTGTGTTGAAGGGCAGGGTGGAATCTCCCAGCTGGACACAATCCTTAGGAAGGTCAGGAGTCGCAGCAACGCAGCTGGGGCCTCAGGCGGGCAGTGCCTGCTGTTTTTCATTTTCAGATTGAAATGAGAAGCAAAAGTTGAAGCATCACAGAGAATGGGGGGGGGTCTGTGACATGTAGAATGGGCAGGCTAGGTAACCTTAGCTACCACTCTCCCAAAGGCGTATTGAGAGCTACCACTCTCCAATACGTATTGAGACAATCAGAAAGGTATGTTAGCTTCTGAGACCAAAGAGTCCTTCAATGTCACCCCTTCTTTTTAGCTCCCACTTTGATTCATTTGGCACCTGTTTGAGGACTTTCCACAATGGGGCACTTACGACTCATGAGGACCACCTCCTCCATCACTGGACCGGGTGAATAAGAAAAAGGTCTCCAACTAGAGTTTGACCTCTACTCTTTGATTTAGACTTTGAGTTTAGACATCAAGACTTTCACAAGGCACAGTTGATAATTCTTTCTATTGGTTGTCAGAAAAGTCATGACATATTTATGAAAAACATAGGAAAAAAATCATGACTTTTCCAGTAATCGTAGGTACATTTCCTATTGGTTCCATGGGAATTTCCATGAGAGGTTTTATCCAGTGATCTCCCTGCCCACAGCGTGCCCCTGCTCTGCCCACCCACTAGCTCTATCCAAGAAGGTGAGTAAGAATAAGCCCAAAGGTTGAGACTTCAGAGCCTTGTGATCCAGGTTTTGAAGTGTCTAAAACATCAGGTTAAAAAAAGATAAAGGTGAAATCAAAGGTTGAACCCGTTTATCCACTACGATCCAGAAGGAGAGTCCAAGCTTGGAAGTGGGGACATTTCCTGGGGTGTCCTGGGGATGGGAGCTGAGTGTGCATCAATCCTTGGCATCTGGCTCCTCTTTTTAGGGTCCCCATCCTGCCCCGTGTACACTAGCACTGACAGGTGAAGAGCCAGGAAGCTTCTTTCTGGCTTCTGCCTCCCCATAGTACACTGTCCGGTCTCCAGGTCTAGTCTCAAGATGCTGTTTCTCTAGGGCCAAAATGAAAACATAAGCTGCCTGTCATTCTTAGTCCCCTTCTCTGGACTTGCTTCCTTTTCGGCTTCAGTTTCCTGGCAATTTTCTTCCTCTTCCCACCTCCTCTCGTGGGCATCTTCGATTTGCCCTTTTATCCCACCTTTAATACATTTCTATAACTTCGTCTTTCACAAAGTCTATATACTCGTTACTGACACCTGCATTTGTTCTTGGACCAAGTCTACTTAAGCAGCAATATCCTGTAGCTGGATTTATTTGTACAATGGATGTATTCCTGGAAAAAATTGAATTATATTTTTAGCACCCAGGGGGGGTTTGAAACAGACACTGCCAATGAAGGTGTTTTTTTTTTTTTTTTTTTTCAGTAAAGTTAAGCGTGCTTTTGTAAGCCAAATAACCTCTAATTTGCCAATTGTGTAAGTCTATAAATTTCATTTTCTTAAGTCATGGTTAATCTGAATCTGTAAATAGTGTATTTTAAAGTTTATCATGTAGCAGAGTATCTGGTGAGTTGACCAGAATTAACTGATGTGCTTTCGTGACCGTGCCCAGCTTTCCAGTATGATTTAAGGTTCACACTTAGTAAATTAAATGAGATCATTTGGTAACTACTCACAGCAGGGCTGACTCAATCTGTGATGGGAACATCGGAAAAATGAACCTACAGTAGCCCAGCTGGTACCTTCTTTGTTGCCCTTCACGTCACTCATTCATTCACCAAACATTATGGAGTGCCTAGAATATTCTGGAAACTTGGAATACCAATGCCCCAGTTTAATTCACATCAGATAATCACTTAGAGTAATTTACTGTCAATCTTAAAGACCTGAAAATATGTTAATTACCAATTAGATGGGGATTCATTGACACAATCCCAGGAAACAATCAGGTTTACAGGCATTTGGGAATCACGCTGGAAAGAAGCGCGAACGGGACCGTCTCAAGTGCTGGCGTGCGACCAGGACTCTGGGACATGGAGGGTGAAGGATCAACAGAGAGTCTGTGAGAAAGTGAGTCCATGAGAAATTTAAGTCCAATTCTGGCCATGACTCTGCAACCAGGAGCATAAAAAAGGAGAAAAATAGATAAGATTTTATTGGAAGCTATTCCCCTTGTGCCAGACACTGTTCTGAGCACTCTGCATGGGTCCTGACAGTCCTGACCATGTCCTGCAAGGTAGATTCTATTGTAATTTCTGTTTTGCAAATGAGGTAGATGAGGCACAGAGAGGTCAAGTACCTTATCAAAAGTTGCACAGCGTATAAATGGCAGAACTGGGCTGCATCCAAGCAGTCTGACCCTATAGTCCTGTCTCTGGGTCATAGGTCTCAAGTGAGGGAAGAGTTGGCGGAAGATTTTTTTTTTGGCTCTGTGACATATAGTACAAGTGAATATTATTAGGCACTGCTGCCAACTGCCAGCATTGGACATTAGACTCACCAGCACAGATTCTGTTGATTTACCCAGTAATAACTTAACCAGATGAGTCATACATATCCCCTTGTGTTGGAACAAGTGTACAGCAACTTAGTTGTGGTGTGTTATGAAACAAAAATCTAAATGACTCGTGGAGAAATTAGATTTCCCCCAGGGATATGGGGTGATGGACCCCTCAGGTTAGGGGTACCTCAAAGGCTCCCTGTCCAGAATTCTGCCCCTACTCCCTTTGTACACCTGACCCTCTCCCAGCGCCATAAATCTGAGTGCCTTGGGTGTCTGGGTAATTCATTAGAGATGGGTATTGATGGATGAGTCCATACGAGACAAGACCTGTAAAAAGTGATTCATTAACCTCAGCAACCCTGTATAGCTACAAACATCAAAGTCAGGGCTTATCTTTCCAAAACATAGATCTAACCATGGGTGTCCCCTGCTGAAAACTTGGGGTCAGCTCTCCTTTACCCACGGGGTAAATTCTCAACACCACCCTCGGGATGACCCCTGCCTGTCCGCACCCACCGCAGGCCCAGTGGGTCTTGTCTTCCTGTCCACCTAGGTATCCCTTGCTCACCTCCTCACCATCCTGGCCTCCTGCTCAGGCCCAGCTCAGGCCTGCCTGCCCCGGAGCCTCCTCTCTCAAGCCCAGGTGGTGAGAGTCTCAGGTCCAGAGCAGGTTGAAGCCACAACCCTGGGATCCCTGAGATTAGAAATATGGTAGGGGAGGGGGCTAAGTGGGCAGAGGCGTCAGCCCCCACGCCCTGGGGCTCTGTGGAGCCACAGTTGCTTCCAGACTGTCCAGGTGGGAATGAAACCCCAGCTCCTGCTGGGTGGGGCGCTCACCAGTTCTGGGGCAAAATGTGCAGAGACAGCTGGATGGGGCAGGGACTGACGAGCCTAGTCAAGGGGGGACCTCGCGGCAGCTGGAAGATGGGCCGAGGCGGGCTCCCGGCTGACCGGCTCTGATTCCCAGAACACTGCCCCCGGCGAGCGCCCATGGCTCCTAAGCCATAAGGAGGTGAAGGCGAGTTAAGGGACCCAGAAGATGGGCGGGTGTGGGGCCTCCAGGAGCTCCCGCTGGGTTATGCCACTCAGTCCTTCCATGGGTCCTGTGCCTTGGGCGCTGGGCACGAGGGGGAGAGACACCCTGTCCCCCCAGGAGCTTGGGGCCCTGGGGGCACCTGAGATGGGCCTGAGGCCAGGCCCGAGGAGGAGAGGATGTTCACCGGCCTTTGGGTCCGGGCGTGGGGGCAGAGGGCTGCTGAGGGCTCCTGGGAGGGGCAACTTTTCCCACCTGTGCCCACCCCGGGACTTGGCGCTCTTCCCGCTCGGCTGGGCTCAGGGATCCAGTCTCCCATCCCTCCTGCTCACATTCCACTTGCCCCGGGGTCGGCCCCAGGCTGCCCCTGTTCCGTGCAGCATTTCCTCCCCCAGCTTGCAGCGCCCCCCTGAGCCTCTGCAGCCCTCAGTCAACTTGGCCTAGAAGAAAGTGCTGGAAGACACAGCTCACTTGGTCCTCTCCCTCCTCCCGCTGCCCCTCCTCACACTCCCCACCTCCTCTTCATCTTCTCTGATGAGGCTGGAAACTTTGAGCGTGAGGGTCACATCCCACATTTTCCTGTATCCCCAGCAGTGCTCGCTGGGTGCTTGGCGAGAACACCGCGGAGTCAACCCTCATCGCTCCTTCTCCCCCACCGCCGTCCCTGGTCCTCCCTCCGGCCCGTCCTCCCCTGTCCCTCTCCACGCTCTGCCTCCTTCAGGACCTGGGCCTCTGCCTGGCCCAGGAGGGCCTGGCCGGGAGGTGCCGTGGAGGACGCCCGCGCCGTGCAGATGCGGAGCACACCGGGCTGCAGGCTGCAGGCTGCCGGAGGAGGCCAAATTATAATGTGCTTCTCTCTGTGGAGTGAGAGCTCTGTAATTTAGGATTTTGTCTAATTGCTGTTTAGCACTCCCGGGCCCGTTTCTCGCAGGCAGGGCTGTGTCTGCTGGAGGGGGCGCTCTTCGTGGCTGCGGGGCTGTGTCCAACCCGGCCCAAAGGTGCGATGACTCAGACCGGGGGGTCAGGGGCGGGTCTGCTCTTCTTCCTGGAGTCCAGATTCGCTGGCAAAGGCAGGAGAGGGAGAGGTGCAGCGCCGTCAAGGGGTCCTGGGGCAGATTTGAGGTAGCACCTTCAGCCTGCGGCTGCTGGAGTCTCAGCCCAGAGGAGCTGGTCAACAGGAGAGGGCTTGCCAGCGAAGGGCACCCCCACTTCTCTGCAGCTGGACTCCCCTCGGCCACGGGTGAGGCTGCAGGCCTCCCTGTTTCTCACTCACGCTCTGAGTGTTTCGGGAAGTCACCTCCTTCCTTTGAAAAGTTATTTTCCAGCGCTCCTGAGCAGCCGTGGGAACGGCAAGGGGTTCCCTTGAGGAGCTGGGTGGAAGCGGGTGCTGCAGACAGCCCGGGGGCCCCCATCTGGGGTCAGATGCAACCCGACCGAGCCTATGCTGCCTCCTGCCTGCATTTGGGGTGTCCCTGGCAATCCACGTTTTTTTCAGAGAAGGCCACATCGACACAACAGACGTTCTGCCATTTTTATTGCTCGTGGCAAACACTTTGGCAGAGGGGAAACAAGTGCACTTTTCATGCAGTGTTTTGTAACTGGCAGCTCCTTGTGGTTAGAAGTTAAGGCCACAGATGTTGAAGCCACAGGGAGTCATGTTTCCAGGTGGGGCAGGGCCCAGGCTAAGAACGTGATGTTCTCCAGCTGCTCCATCTCCAGGCCCCTCGCCAATCCCAACCCTCCACATGTGGCCAAAACTCCACGCAGGTCAAGACTGTCTGCAGCGAACACCCTGGAAGCTCTGTAAGGGACGAAGGCATTTCAGACTGTGCTACAGCACAGCACAGGGTCACACAAAGATGTGTGTGTATGTGTGTGTGTATGTGAGAGAGAGAGAGAGAATTGTACATGCATGTGTGCCAGTGTGCACAAGTGTGTGTGTCTGTATGAATGTGCAAGAGGTGAATTGTTTGTGTGCATGTGTGAGTGTGTGAGTGTGTGACAGTGTGGGAATGCATGTGATGTGTGAGAGTGTGTGAGTATGAGACTGAGGGTGTGTTTGTGAGAGAAAGTCTATGCATGTGTGTGTGAGTGTGCCAGTGTGAGGGTATGTGAATAGGTGTGATGTCTGACTGTGTGTTTATGTGTGTGAGTGTGAGTGAGGGTCTGTGTGTGGGGAAGCACTGCTGTGTGTTTGTGTTCAGTGTAAAATCGACTTTGTGTTGGCTGGTTTTGCCCAAGCGTGGGCCGATGTAAGTGTTCTGAGCACACTTAAGGTAGGCGCGGTCAAGCTGTGAAGTTGGTTGGTGTATTAATTGCACTTTCAACCAAAGATATTTCCATGCTGCAGGCTGTCAGGGGACACAGCTTCTGAGCACTTGCCTTGGTTGGTCGAAAGGAAGGTGAAGAGAGAGTCTAAATCTTTCGTTTTATGTTTAAATGAGATAGTTGGGTTTGGTTTAATTCTCTGCTCAATTAACTTAGGGTGTTGTGATCCCACGTCGATGGCTTTGATGTGACTGTTGGGAAGAGGTCCTTGGCAGGAGTCATCCTGTCCTGAAGCAATTCTATTTTGGCAGAATCCATGGCTATTCCTATTTATTTTTTCCTGAGTCTTCCTGGTTGACAGAACCATTTTGTTATAGTTGGCGGGAAGGCGCTTTCTACCCAGAAAAATAAAGTTCTAGAAAAATTTTTAAAATTGAAGGGTTTTTTTTTTTTTTTTGCTTTTTGAAAGCACTCCTATGTAGGACTTTCACACTTCTAATTACAAGCTTATTTTTCTTGATGGAAAAGAATATTAGGATTTTTTTAGAAAAGGAAACACAGTAGTTTAAAAGGGAACATGTTTTCCATTTATCTCTGCTTTCAAAAGTTGATGAGTGGCAAGTTGGGAAATAAGTCATTGAATCCACTTAGCACCTTTGATGTGTCCCCTTTTGAGCAGACAGCTGAGGAGCCATGAAAAGATCTTGGTTTATCTTTAATGCCAGTGACATACTAAGAATTGACTTCAGGTGTTTCAGTCTTGGGAGCCTAAACTGGACCATCAAAAATGAATGCTTAACAGTCTTTTCCCACGGTGGGTGGTGACGGACTTACATGGAGGCATCCCTGGCAGGGGAGACAGAGTCAGATGGAGCTCTTGACTTCAGTCCACAGTTCCAATGAACCTCCAGTGGCATCACAGTTTCAGCCTTTGGATTCCATCTCCCACCTAGACAAATAAATTGATCTCCGGGAAATGAACTGTGAACATGATTTTAAATTTAAATATTGTGTCACCAAGATTGAACTTGCTCCCAGTCACGATATAAGCTCAATTGAAGGACATAGTGAATTAAAAATCTGAATGTGTTGGCAGAGGCCGTTAGCCTAAGCAAGAAATTTATGGGCAGACAGATTTGCTGGGGAGCCAGCATCTTCTCTAAATCTAGACATCACAAGTCATTTAGCAGCTGATCTACAGTGTCCCTGAGCCTCCTCGAGGTCAATTAGAGGAGCTTATCCATTTAGTTCAACATTATGACTTTAACAAATGACTGACTGGTTTCTTTCTTTCTTGGTTACCAGAACTAATAAAAGCTTCATGGAGATTTACAGACATCTAATGAAATCAGGAGCATGGGATTCCATACTTACCTGTTCCAGTTCGTATTTGGAAATTCCACCTGACCAGCTTTGAAAAGCAGAATGGAAACCAGTCAAGAAATTGGGCATATTGATCTCCAGCCTTCACAGACAGGGACACCTTGAAAGGTATGAAGAATAGCACTGCGTGTGTTAACGGTGTGTGCCCTGCCTGCCACTTGGCATGGAATGGGTGACTCATAAATGCAGTAACTTTTCAGGCTTCTGCCTCTGAAAACACTCGGTGAAAGTTGGTGAGTTGGTTGGCATTTCAAACAAAGAAATGAGGGCATGGATTGAGAACTGAAAGGACTTAAGGCTTTACAAATGGCAGCTTTATGTCAAAATTCCAACAAAAATAGGGGAAAAAGTTCCAACAGTCTTTTTTTTTTTAAGGCAGCAGGAGAGCCTAGATCCAAAATTCTGTGTAATCCCTCGCAACTGAGATTCTAACAACAACAAACAGTTCCTTGGCACAGCTGATATTATTCTTGGCAAGGCTCAGATCTCAAGTGACATCAAAGGTGACTATATATACATACACACACATATATATGCACACACAATGAAGTCAGCTTATAATTAATTTGTTAGATTTACAAACTTAATTGCATGGGGTTAAACCTTTCTGCAAAATTGGGAATACCAAAAAGCAAGTAGGTAATGGCATAGACACATATGACTTACAAATGGTTGATTTCCTTAATATATAAAGAGCACTTAAAAGTGAATAAAAGATGTATCACCTAATGCAATAATGGGCCCTCACACGTGTTCGAAGTCTTTTAATCTGGTGTGACATTTACTCTGGATCCTATCTCTTTTTGATTGATTTTCACAGGCTTGTATTTTAGGTGGTCAAACCTGGGTCTCCCCATGACTCTGAGGCTCAGAAGGGCATTCCTCTTTCTGAAATACCTCGACATGATTTTGGACTTGTGACGGCATTCATTTCTGACCCATCTGTAAAGTCTGGGTGTGTGGTTAAAGACAAAAATAGACCTACATTTGCCTAAACAATTACTCTGTTGTTCCAGCTCCATTTATTGAGGAGTCCTTGCTTGCCCCACAGTGTGTGGGGCAAACTTTATCATATAGTCAATACTTACGCGTGCTAAAAATAAAAAATCATTTCGGTTGAGTGCCAGGAGTTAATCCAAGGCGTTTGCTGAGGTGGTGTTTGCAACATGTGCATGTCCTTCCTTTTCCCTCCAGCCCCACCCCCTTTCTCCCTAGAGATTGAAAACAGAGGGAAAGAAGCCAGGGAAACATTAAGGTCTGCTGCTCTGGATAATGTCTATGAAGAAAAAAAAGCAGGCTGGGGTTTTATGATTTGAAAATGATCACGCAGCTTCCAGAGCCCAGCAAAGGTCCCACAGCGGCTGCACACTGGGTGCTTACGCCACGCCAGGTGCCACCCGAGCACGCATGGCAGCACCATCACCCCAGCCTTGACCACCCACCGTGCCATCACCACGGAGTTTAGAGACACCTCACGTCACTTCCCCCAAGCCTTCAAGAGGACAGCCACCTAAACTGTGGCTAAACCAGCCAATCAACCAAGGTGCTGAAGTTGTTTCCTTTTTCAAAACAATTCCTCCCAACAAAGACATCAGGAGTCTACAAACACTCCAAGGAAGGGCTCTGCCAATAGTCTCGGGGTGACAGTGCTGACTGTGGAAATGTCCTGGGGCCAAGTGGTCAGCCAGGTGATTCTGGGGTTCTGAGAAAAGCAGCGGTGTCAATTTCTGTCAGTTTTTCTGTGCTCTTTAGTGCCTGTTCTTGTCACAGCAAGCATCAGCTTTCCAGGGACGCTGAGAAAAATGCCTTTCATCCAACTGGTTTAGGAGAGCAGGGCAGAAACATTTTCACCACAAGATCCTATGGCATCTCAGAGAATTCTGTATCTAATTCTTTGGAGATTAGGGGCCCCTGGGCCCCTAATTATTATTAATAACTAACTATGGAGTTGACAGACTTAGCCAGCCAGTGAGGTGGCCATGAGGAGGTTCAGTGTAAACCATGGTATACTGTGCTGATGTAGGAGGCTTCTTTCTCCAAAATGGGGCTCTGTTTCCAAGAGTCCAAAAAACTCAGACACTAGATGTGGATCAAGCACAAATGGCCCTGGATTCTGAGACCACTTTGTAACTTGCCATTTTTATAACCAGACCGTATTTCTGTGTTTTCCTCTGGATAATACGAATGTCTGTTACATAGGCCCACAGGCCTCTGGGATCTCACTAGCACACATGCGCATCAGTTGTCTCAAGGCAGGTATGTCGCTGTAGATGCAAAGTCTCACTAGTGAAAACAAGGAACAGTGAGTTGATTTTTGTTTTCTTTGTATGTGTGTGTTTTGTTGATGCTGTTTTGACCATTTTGGTACAAAGCCTCTGGTTTGGCTGGTCCAGACCACTGTCCAGCTGGCTGTGGATCAGGACGACCCAGACTCTTCACTCCAGCCATTCTTCAGACCCCTGCTAAGGGATGGGCAACCTCGCTTTTTGTCAGTTCAAACCACATCCTGCCTATTTCCACTTTCCAAAAGACGGGTGGTTTTCAGAGATGCAGGTTTCTTGGTGAAGCGATAGCAGTGGCCTTTTTCACAGAAGTGAAAATAATTCATCCAGTGGTTAAGATGTCAGGTCTGGGCATGGAGTTTATCCTCCACTCTCCAACTTGATCTAAATCCCTGGTTTGGGGGTTGACTTTCTCCCCAGCCCTCCCTGACTGTCTTGATTCTTTCTGCATAAAATCTAAGCATGGGACAGGGATGACACCCAGAAGGAACTGCACGCTGTCCAGAGAGGGCCTCAATTTTTGAAGGTGAAAGCACAGCCCGCAGTCCTCACAAAGGTCCTCAGGAATCTTCTAGTCACTATACAGAGGAGAAAATGTCCTCTTTCACCACTGAAGATCAAGTCCAGGGTGGGTCAGTGGTGTGAGCAAAGAGATGGGGCCTGTTCGAGGCAGATCCTGGACTGGGCTCTATTCTGGGCTTGTGGCTCACCGTGGTGCTAGGTAGACCAGTTGAACCAAATCTGCAGCTTAATGATTCACTGGTGTCACTGGAATTGCAAGTTAGTCCAGGAGAATGGGTTGGGTCTTGGTGAATGAGGGGGCGCATCCACAGCTAGATTGGTTTGCTAAAGAGCCAGGACAGGGCCAGTACCAGTTGGTGCTGCAGATTCAGCCCCAAGCTGAGCATGGGCTCATGCTCAGGGCACAAGGCAAGCAGGGACATGAGTGACATAAATGTCTCTCAAGACCTTGGCACTTGGAGAGAGAAAGGAGGAGGAGGAGAGAGAAACAGTGGCATTAAAGTAAGCATATGTGCACATCTGACCTCCAGAATTCTTCATCTGATGCTTTGGAGTAGTTTTTCCTTGCAAGGCACAGCCTTTCAAAGGCTCACGGACCTGGGGACAGCACACTTTCCAGCACACTTGATGACACACGGCCCAGCGCAGGGCTGCAGAAGGAAACAGAGTTGGGCTGCCAGAGCCCAGGAGGCTTCAGGACCAGCCTGAGTGCAGGTGTCCTCTGCGTGTGCACCCCATGGCTCCACGATGGGTGCGTGGGCTGGTTTGTGCCCCCGTCCAGGGTGAGCTGAAAGGCTGGGGCAGCCCTGACCTTCAGAAACAGGGTTTCCCAAGACTTGTCCCCGATACTTCTGACCTTGGAAATGTTGATCACCAGGTTAAGGGCTCCCCTTATCTTTCAAGGGTACACGGTGGCCTGTAAACAGTTAACTTATTAACTCGGCTTTGGATTCCCTCTGGGAAGCCAAGGACAGTGAAATTCTAACGGGGTACCTGTGCAAGGGCGGGGGGCACCACAGCCTCCAGCGCAGCCTGCCTTCTGGCCTCTTGGGGAGCAGAGCCCCCAGCCCTGGCCTGTTCAGGAGCAGGGAGCCCCTGGTTCTAGCCCCTCTGGGAACTCCGGGAGGGGGGAGGAGCACAAGGTGGACAGCTGCTCAGTGGCTCCCTTTTCAGCAAGCAGCAGGCACCTGGAAGGCCGTCCCAGAGCTGCCCCAGCTCAGTCTGAGCTAAGTGTGGCCCGTTGTGGGGAGCACCCTTTGTCAGTTTAACTGACAGCCCAGATAAGAGGTGTCGGCCTGGCTCCCGGGTTGTGCAATAAACCACTTTGCCAACTGAGGAAAGAGAGGAGCTGTCTCCACAGCCTCTACGGTCAAAACGAATTTCCTTTATGGGTGTCCTGCCCACCGCCCCCTCTCTAGCCCCTATTTTTAGTTTTGAAGGTGGTCTCAGCACGGGGTGAGGGGCTGTGTGTGGATGATGTTCCCTTCACCCATTCAAGCACCGGCCTGGCCTCCCGCCTCCTTTCCAGGCTCATGCCCTCGGGCTATGAGGCGCAGGGCCCAGGCCGGGTCAGAGGGGGGTGAGGATGAGCCAACAGCGAAGCACTCAGCAGCGGGGAGGCTTCCCCCTGCTCAAGAAGGAACATTTTCCCTGGCAGCTGTGTTCTCGAACTCACACCTCCCAGCTCGCCAGCCAGGTCCTCACCCCGCCACCAGCTCTCCCCACATGCAACAGAGAACCCCGGGGGCGCCGGGCCCGCACCATCTGCGCGCGCCCCCGGGGCTGCTCACTGAGTGCAGCTCCATCACGGTCGCCGGGGCAGCGAGTGTTGAGACTCCGTGGAAGCAGCGCAGATAGAAAAATCCGGTTACCAGATAGCAGCTGCTTCAGCCAGGCGAGCTGGGGAGGGGGTGGGAGGGAGGAGTGGGCACCTCCATGCCTCGGTCTCCCCCCTGGAGTCACCGTGTATCCCGAGGCCGGGTCAGGACCACCCACGCGGGTTCTGGTTCTACTCTGAGGGAGGATAAGCGACAGCTGTGAGTGCCAAGCAGAGAAAGCAGGAGAAGGAAGACCTGGTCACCACAGGGGAGCCAACGGTGTCCCGGCAGCCTGCTTTCAGGTTTCCGCACAGAGCACCTCCATTCCTGTTCTGTGCTGGGCAGGGGCGTAAGGAGGGTTAGGAGGGTGACCCCCTCCCAGCACAGCCCCGACAGCTTTCCCCGCGCGCACGTCTGGCCATTGCTGAATTTAAACACATGGGGTCAAGGACATGGGCCCCGGGCTGACCTCCTGCCTCTGCTGTGC